ATCCAAAATGGCAGACATCAAATTGGGTGCTGTCATGGGAACTGCTGTAACTCCCCAACCTGTCATGCTCTTTACTTGCAATTTACGAGAGTATTACATGAGGTATAGACCTAGTCACATACCAAATATGAATTTATTTCTTCAAGAGACAATGGAGTTACAGTAGTTTGAAGATTGACCAGCTAAACATGAAAAATGGGCTAAGGGGTGACAGTGACAAAAACTCGTTTTAAGGCTTGGAGACCACTCAAAAAGCACTACTATAACTACCATAACTCTTGAACCTGACATGCTATTGACTTGCCTCCAGTGAGCTATAAACGTGGCATGAAACTAGTTCTGTGTGAGGTCTGACATAATTTAATGCAGAAGCAAGAGAATTAGAGAGGTTGGAAGATTGACTAGTAACACGTGTAAAATGGGCTAAGGGAGTAGTTTAGCACGTCAAACCACGGATTCGTGTAAGGACTGGATCCAGGTTTAGAAATAAATTAAAAAACGGCACAGTCATGAGCCGAGTTTGTTCCGAATTAGATCCGAATTAGAGTTGAGAGCCAAAGTTGAGAGTCATAGAGTTATTAGAGCTGAAGATTGAGCCGAAGTTGTGCCGATTGTTACTGTATGTGTAAGCAGGTCATCACAAGTTGCTCGTAGAGCAAAAGATGCCTTGGTTTGTGTGCGTTGTAGTGAGTTGTTATTATTGTTAAATGTTGGGTTAGGTATATCTATGAAACCGTATCTTGAGTGCCATCCATGTGGGACGGGAAGACAGAAAAGTGTCTGCCCATGCTCAAAAAACTTTACGCATGTGTAATTGGATAAAGTAATGTTTGCACATTAGAGCAAATTATAAACAGAGGAGAATTGTACTACCAAGATCCAGAAGAACCTTGATCCGACTACGAAACGCGTGTAAAGTAGTTGAAAAGAAGAATGAGATTTTTAAGGCTGTCGTGGAATATAAAAAAGTGGTATACGAGTGGGAAGTTTCAGACATAGAATATGGTCGATAGACAGCATTATATCCTCAACAATCCTAAAGTAGCCATTGTGGAGATAGAAAGCATCTTAGATATCATTTAGCACGCGGATAAAGATTCTTTGAGAACAGAAGGAGAGAGAACGGCAGTGGAAAGAACAGAAGGAGAAAGATTGGGAAAACAGTCCGTAGTATGTACCGCGTGAACCGTATGAAATGTTTCCTCCAGCGAAAACGCATGAAGATTTAGTACACGATTGGGATTTGAACGTGTAAGCATATAAAGAGCATTTAAAACAATTTGAACAGCAAAGTGAAAATAAGGGGGAGAATTAGGATGGAAATTGATGATAATTCACCGGAAGAATTTTATTTAACATTACTGAGTAACCATGCCAGTAAAAAGTATTATCTGGAAAATTCAAATCGTTCGTGGAAAATTTGTTTGGATCGAACCATTCGTTGAAAAGGGACTTGGCAAGTGGGATTATTGAGTCTTAGCGTACCCACTCGAAAAATAGGAGAATCAGATGATGAGTTAAAAAAGTATTTGGATACACTTCAAGATACCGACATGTTATTATCTACGAGTTGTGTTACCCTTTCACCTACTCAAAGACAAACTCAAGTCAAACATTCGGTCACCTACTGACGTATGAAATTTTAGTGGTTGGATACACCGTTTGACGTGTTAGAAGCACTTTTTAAAGAAGAATATCTTCATTTTATTTATGATTGTCCGGCCCATTTATGAATGTGTTTTAGCAATGGTGAAAAAGCTCAATTTGAAACACTCTTCAACTGTCAGAGAGGTACCATCTAAGTAGATACGATCAATATCGATCGCAATCAAATGACAGATTTTACAATTCAGCAAGAAGTGTATTTTGAATTAGCTAAAGGATTGTGCGAAGTCGCCGGATGGACGCGAAAAACACAGGTATTGACCACAGGAATAAGCGGGCAATCAATAGTCAACAATAACGTCACGTGGCCTGGACCTAATTTGGACGCATGAAAAATTGGAACCAAGTGGACCTTTGATAGAAGTTACGAAACCGTAAATTTGTTAGATGAAACCTACGAGATACCGTTTGTAGATCGAAATAGTCCCGTCACGCATCGATTTTTAATGAGCAATGTGGCATGGACGTTTTTATATGTAAATCAGCCTACGCACCTCGTGGCTTCCAAGAGCCACGCCTACAGAAGTCTGTATGTGTATTCGTCACTGATTGATCCCATTCTCATGGGAGATCAAACCGTGGATTTGTTGCGTCAGGTACCGTTGGAAGAAGTCGAGAAAGGCACGTATTACTTTCAACCAAGTCAAATTCAGTATATCGAATTATGGAACAATCAATTTCAAGTCGTGGAAATGCAACACGGTGAAACTCTGACAAACGAATTAGCAGATATTTCAAAAGAAGGCGACAGTATATTGGCTTTGGATTTTAAAAAGGTCAAGTAGTAAGAGTCCCGTAGCGTCAATCAAATTAGTAGATATTTCAAAAGAAGTATATACGCATTTTAGTAGAGTCACGTTTGAATAACAATGTAATTCAGTCTATTCAAATTTTGGGATTTCTTTTGTCATTTCAAAAACAATACTTACGAACTCTATTCAAACAACTCGGATTACAAATTCAACCGATGCTGCAGTTTCGCAGTCGTTATTGAGAAATGGAGTGGACAGGAGATATTGCGAGAAACTATGCTGAACTGTATATATTTATCTTGGAATGGATGGGTTATTCAACTGATCCCGAAGTTCAGTCCTTTTTAGCTCAATTGAGGTTGCTAGCAGATCTCACACGGGTTCTATACAGACATATGGGACGTCTGTTGTGGGAAGTAAGATACCTGAGGAGGTTGGTAAGATGTACCAGGTTCGCCAGAGGATAAAGCTGTGTATATACTTGATGTGATAAGTAGTTTAGGGCGCCTTACTGGCATAAACCGCGCGGTCTGGGTCCAAGTGGTTCAGCCGAGTGCTTAATTTATTCATATTAGGGTTAGTTTTAGGTTTCGGGTTAGGTTTCGGGTTAGGTTTCATTCATATTAGCGTTAGGGTTAGGTTTCGGGTAACCACATTAACATCTTTGGGGAATCAGGCTAAAAATATCTCAAAGAAGCCCAAATTTGGTGCGTAGATAGTTTGCATGCTTGCCTATTAAGTGATTTTAACCAGCGTCCATTCCCTCTAATTTTAGAAATCTGACGCAAAGCAAAAAAACCTGGTACAGGTATACAACCTACACAAGGCTTCACACGAAACTCAACCTTGAAACTAGGGCTAGATCGCAAAACTGCTAAAACCTTTATTCTTGGGAGTTGAGAGCTGAAATTTTCAGAGGATATTTATGGCATACTTTCTATCACGTGCACCAAGTTTCAAGTCATTTCAATTGATATTTTGGATTTTTTAGCCTTTTTCATCAAATTTACATATTTTGAGAAAAGTGAGGGTTAGGGCTTAAGGGCTTTTCGCGTTTTTTTAAGCACCATTTCATTGAATGTAGACATGTTATACATCGTTGGAAAGGTCGTATTAAGAACTACAACTTGATTTATTCAAAAGTATTGAAATTACTGCGCATGCGCTGGAGACCGTAAAAGCTCGAAAAAAGGGGTGGTTTGATTCTTTTTTTGCAGGGCTAAAACACCTTAAAAATCAAACGAAATTGACACGAAATGATATACACATGATTGTCCATTTCCTTAATATTGGTTCGTTGTAATTGGCATAGAAAACAGTCAATTGGAGATTTTTTACGAATTTTCCCTTAACACGGGTCTCATATGTACGCTATGTGGACCTATGTTTTTATTTTCAAAAATTCCTAAAAAAAACGCTTTTTATCGGTTTTTCGTTAAACCTACACCAAAATAATAACAATTGAACGTACTTTTAATTAAAATTAAAAAAAAGGATTGATTTTTCTAACCCTTTTCGTCTCCTTTTACACGCCATAAATCTTAAGCGTTTCTATCCATTCACCTAATACTTACACATACAATGGAACAGTTTCCGTACTTAATGCCTGCTAAGTTTGAAGGCCGGAACAAGGAGGGTTTTTGAGTAACAGTAGATTTAATGAGTGCCTGTCCATTTCACGATTACGCTATTTTCGCCTAACTCCTGACGTTTGAAAAATTCTAAAAAATTAACAAAACATTAACTGTACCTTATTTGACCAGCATAAGATAGAACATAAAACGACGTTATCTACCATGTTAAATTTTGTTTAAAATTTTAAAATTAAATATTTGCTGTGATTGACAGAGGTCAACCTTAATTGACAGGTAGCAATCAACCTAATTTGCCTAAATAAAGTTGTGGTAAAGT